CCTTTTTTCCTCCAGCTTTTTAGAACATTGATTTTTTATTTTTTTTTAAGGTTTTAAAACTTCCTTTTTGCAAATACCTCTTCATGTAGATTTTCTTTTCTCTTGTGGAAAAGATTATTACATATTGATTTAAGGGGGGTTGCATTTCAACTGTCACAGCTCAAAACTGTCTTGATCTGAATTAATCCAAAGTGAGTACTGTCTAAAACTGAAAGTAGATGTAATTTGGATTGTAAGGTAGGATTTTGGGTTTGAAATTTTCATGAAGATGGCATAGATTTTTGTTCTAAAATACACCTATTTTCCTTCACACATGCATTGCAATTTTTAGAGTTCTGTGTAATATTTCTTGTATTAGCACTTGCTTAACTGTTAGACTGTGTCTGTTTTAGTATTTTGACTAGATTCTGCAATATTGCATTGATCAGGGTGATCAGATAATTTGCAAACTACTCATTCATTCAGTCTGGTCCCATCCTCTCAGTTTGTTGGGAATTGTTATTATTTCATGTTCTGGTTTTTGTTGGTTTAATATGATTAAAGAGCTGTAAATTGGAGGTCTCATATTAATCTCACTACTTCTAAACAGTGGGAAAATTATGGTCTATTGCAATGACTAATTTTTAAGATTTAAAATTTATATCTAATATCAACTACTAAAAATATAAGGTTTTTATTTTGTTTTTACTTAGGAGAGAGAGATGTGCAGCTCTTGTGGATGTGTGCCACAAGTCTCTTTGTAAAGCTTTTTTTCAACACAGTCCAGTGCTTATTTAGAAATCTGCAATGTCTGGTCTCATTGCAGAATCAGTATTTCCCAAAGGAGTGAACCTTAATTTCTTTGACATGTTTCCTGCTTGGTGTTTTCCTGTGGGCTTCTGCTACCAGACGAGTCCCTGGGATTGCAGGTGTGCTCCCATTGGGCCAGCACAGCTGAGAGCAGCAGAGGACCTTTGCCACCACCCTGTCCCTCTGACCTCTTGCCAGCAACAAGCCTGGTAACTGTCCCAATCCCCCTCCACATCTATTGTAAAGCTCTGCCAGTGAGCCCTGCTACTTCCTGAGCAAACACTCTCCTCCCTCACCGAGAAGGATGATCACTCTCCTCACATCAGGGGATGCAGCAGGCCTGGTGCTGCATAGGCAATGGCATTGTCAAAAATGGCAAAATTTTGGCAGTGGCACCATAAAGAGGCCATGTGATGCCATGCACTAAGAGACTCAGCCCATCTGTTTCTTCCAGTGTTGTTGCCTTCAACTGGAAGTACAGAGGAGAATGTAACTTGTGCCCCAGATTCCCCACGATGATGCAGCAAAGAACACCTTCTTCCAAACACCAAACCCATTTATCAGTGTGAGTTTTTACACCACAGCACTGGCCTAAACTCACACTATATTAAACATTTAATGTTAATACACTTTAATCTCCATAAACAGCTCTTCAGGAAACAATATAATAGAAAATGAGCTCATTTTCTGCAGCCACTTACATACTTTTCTAATTACAAAAGACTTTCCAGAAATATGTTACAGTAGATTTTTTTTCTTTTCCTGCAGGAGCCCAGAAATGTGATTAGCTCATTACCACATAAAAGAGTTCAGTATCTCAAAAGTCTTGCTACAAAATTTTCTTGTATGAATCCAGAAGTTAATAAGCACCAACCATTAAAGGACTGTGTCAAAGACACAAAGTTGTATCCAGGAGGAGGTAAGGGGAAAAGAATTTCTTAATTTCTCAATTATTTGCAGTTAATGCATTCTTTGTGACTTGTAATTGCCCACGGGCTTAAAATTATTGAAGGGGCTAATTCTTGTATAATTCTAAACAGCTGCTTGAGAAAGGTATTTGTTTGTGTCTGTATCTCAAATTATACCCTCTATCCTTGCATAAATTGCTACACAAACAAGATCAGGACATCCAGCATGTTTGTAAGTGATTTGAAATGTGTTTGAAATAGTAAGCCTAAGCAGTTTGATGTCAGAGCCCAAAAATGGAAAAGAGCTGCCTCTAATATACAGTATCTAAATGCTGAGATTTAAAGTGTGGTTTGGGACGAGTGTGCGTTACAATGCTGCAATACACTGCACTTGCTGGCAAGAGGCTGCTAGTGAGCACATGCTCTGCTCCTGCATCCAAGTGAGCTGCAAGAATACAATTTTGTTTGTATAACTGCAGCTCTGCTGGTGACATTTGCCACACCTGGTATGAGGCACGAGGCTAAAAGATGCTACTTTTTTGCTTGTTGTTCAGAAGTCTGCCCAGAAACAAGAGCATAGCGCTGATGTGAGAAGGTGCTGTGCAGAAATGGTAATTGCCCAATTACTGGTCAGAGGTGTGCATGCAGAGAACAAACATCAACCTTGGCATCACTCTGTGAGAAGCTTGTTGTATTCTAGTTCTCTTAAGCTGACTTCGGATTTCACAACACCACAGGTACATACCCAGCTGCAGGCAGGGACTCCTAGGTACATTTACCAGCACGCAAACTCCTAGAGAATCTTGACAATGAAGGAGATAAATTGCGTAAAGAACAAGAACAACCTGAGGGGACAACCACTGGGATCCCTACTGGTTTCTAAATCATGGAGATTTGCCTGATAGGTGAGGCAGGGAATTTGCAGCTGAATCTGTAGCCAGAGCCCTCAGTGGTGGTTAAAGGATCCTTCTATCCCCAGTGTGCTGCACAGTCCAAAACTACGTCTTGTGGCTGAAGGAGCCTCTTCTCCAAAGATGCCGAACACAAGAAATCTTCTGTTCCCTGGCCACGTGCCCACTCTGGGCTGATGAAAGCTTTGCATTCAGGTAGAAGGCTAAAGATTCCATTCCTTGTTCAGTAACTGTAAAATCAGTGTGGAATCTGAATGTATTACCTCAAAACTGAATATAAAATCAATCTAGAACCAAAGGCATGGTTTGATGGACCAAGATAGAAATTTTGGATCTAAAATCAGCCTGATTTTACACTAATACAGATTTTTTCCCCCTCTGGCTGTGCACAGAAAGATTATAACAACAGTAGCCTATTTACAACATCAAAGTAACTACAAAATTGATTATCCTGGATTTATTGAACAGTAGCTATTTACCCAGTTTTGGAATTTCACAATACTTAATTTATGTAGACTGCTAGCACGCATGCTAATTTAAATTTGGTGAGATTTTATAATTATTCATAGTATGGAAAAATGTAAACTCTGCAGACATTTGGACAATGCTAAAACTCATCTTCCAATAGCAGCTTCTGCAAATGAAACATCCTATATTTAAAGCTTTTCACTTTATTAACAATAAATTAATCTGTGGCATCACCAATCAACAAAACACTAAAGAGATAGTGAGCAGATTGTCTGTATAACGATCAGAAAGGCAACATTATCACTACCTTCATGAAAACTGGAGAAATGCCAATGAACTTACATACATGTACCACTTGCAACCATATGAACACTGAGCAGAAGAAATATATTTTCAAGTTTCTCCAATTTTTCTGTTAAGTAAGGCAATAATAAGTACAGCATCACAATTAACTACAGCTCTAGGTATTGAGCCCTGACATAATGCAGTGCTCAGAGGAATGTGCAAAATAAACACCTGGATTTGCACTTTGATTCTTTGTTGTGTAAAATTAAAAAACAACACTAAGTCACAACTCTTCTTGATTCCATTGTCCAGAAAAACAAAGCAAAGCTGGAGAATCCAGATTGACAAAGATGTTCTCTCTCAGCCTGTAGTACCATTTGGAATATCTTGAGCATCGGCTAAATGTAGCTTTTGGCTGAAGCAAATCAAGTGTTAAGGAATAACACTTTCACATACAGATAAGGCATAAACAAGACAGCAGTGTTACATGAAACTCTGCTTACTCTGGGGTATGCACCAGTCCAGACAAACTCTGTTCTGGTGAGTCCTATGCTAGTTCCCCACCAGCAGATTAATATTTCTCAATGACACTTGAGCATTACATATCTCCAGCATTAGCCCGGGGATCAAAGGTGATGGCAGATTATTTTTATCACTATTACATATTATTATCACATTCCACTTGTCCTCTTTATGAAGTCTGCCTTAAAGAGCTTTCCACTGATATGCAGGGAATGTAGATACCAGTGCAGGATATTAAGCCCCAAAAATTAGAGCCTCGCCTCCACAGTGCATACAAAGTGTGTAACAACAGAAATAACCAGACTGCAGAGTAAACTGAGTGCTACACTCCTCCACTGCCATCCTGGCTTATCAAAAGCACAGTGTGAAAGACAAGCTGAGACATTCAGCTTAATCTTCCTTGTGGCCTAAGAGCACACATTTGTTCAGTTACCTAAGCTATGCTGAAGTATCTGACCCTAGAAATAAAAAATTAGGTCAGCTCACTCTCCACAGTCAAGCAGTGATAAACAACCACACACATTTCTAGAAAAAAACTAAAAGGTAATAGAATTTACTTATCAGTGGGACAGATGCCTCTGAATATTGCTGAAGCAATATTACTATGGATGTTTGTTCCAGAATGTCTCAATAACATGCAAACAGAAAGACCCTGCTGCTGATGGGTTTTGCCACTGACAACACATTGTAGTACACAAGTGGTACATGGTAGCTAAATAAATCACCAGGTGAAAAAAACAACCTATAATTAGATGTGTTAAGATACAGTCACTTATGTATTTGGAAGAACCTAAAAATTGATGCTGTATTATAGTACTAATTTAGAAGTACAGCATCACAATTAACTACAACTCTAGGTACTGAGCTGTGCAATGCTCAGAGGAATGTGCAAAATAAACACCTGGATTTGCACTTTGATTCTGTGTAAAATTAAAAAACAAACAACACAAAGGCATTATCGAAGGAATCTGACTATTGTAAAGACGTCAGTTACTAGGGAAACACTGCAATTTGACTACAGTTAGTAATTATAATGCAAAATAAACATTTTAGAAAAAGGATACATAGATGAATTTAGTTCTTCTAGCTGCAATGTAAATGTAGAAATTAGGAGAAATAGCACTTCTGTTAGCCAAAGATATGCAACAATTATGCTGCTATGCTGAAATAAATACATTAAAACAATGAAGGAAATAACTAAGAGTTTGGGCTGAAATGTATGATTTCTTACAAAAATCAAATCAAACCTACACTAAATTCTATACAATGAGCTAAGTTCCAAATTAAGTTTAAATCTACTGATCTCAAGAAATTTAAAGACATTTTAACAGTTCTGTTTTTTATGGAAATACACTAGATAAACTGCAGAATATACAGATCTATATTCCTTGTTATGTGTCACCTTCCCCAGAGGCAGGAGGATGGACTGCAGGGAAACTGGTTGTAGTTCCCTAGTACATGGGCTGTCCCTAAGCAGGCTGACATGCTCGGGCAGCTTGCAGCCAGCCTGCTCCCTGCCCCAAAGCAACCAGCAGCTGTGACAAATGAAAACAGCTCCTGTGTTTTCTCAGAACCAAAAGGAGGGCAGGCTGCATCTTGGTTCATTGAAGAGCTACGTTCTCCTCAACTGCAAATCACTGCACGCACAGGAGCGGGGTTTTCCTGAACCAAGCTTTGCTGTGGGCTAAGTTCCGTGATTTCTGCCTTCCCAGTACTTACATCTGACAGCAGTCTATCCAGGTTGGAATCACTGGCTAGTTTTCTTTTATCTTCAGGGAGTTCTTCCATCTCCCCATAGAGCTCCAGATTGAGGCGAGCAAGTTTCTCCTGCATACTCCGCACGTGCTCCATCTGCTCTATGGAACATTCATTTCCTAAAACAACAGGCAAAAACTTTATTATATAAAGAAACCCAAAAGAGAAAATGAAGGTGTGGAGATGCAGCTTCTTAGATCAGAGAAAAGAGATGCAGCTTTTTACATCAGAGAATTTAAACATCAATGTTATAAGTACGTTTGCTTTCTTGATGATTTCTCACTGTTTCACTATTGAAGTTTCTGTCGTCCTATTTGATGTTGTGTTGTGCCTAATTTACAGTGGCTATCCCAATGTTCTCTGAGTTTTTTAGAATGCATGTGGTTTTTCTATACTCTTGAATTTTTCTCTGATTCAGAAAGGCCCTGGTTTTTAACTTAAAATTTAGTCAAAAAAACCTGCTTTCCAATTCTGATTTATCTAAAGGTTGCTTTTTTGGAACAGATGGTTTAGAGAATACAAACTTCTCAGGTTCTTTTGTAAAATCAGTGTGAAATTGACACACTGACCTAACACTAAACTTGCAAAAGTATGCATGTATTTTTCTACTTAGTACAAGGGAGAAAAGAAGCAAAAATGTGCAATGTTTCTTCTAAAACCTCCATCAACTCTGAGGCTGTAAAAATACTAAGACGCTAAGACAGAAGAGTAACCTGGGTAAAATGCAGCTTGTACTGAATTTCATAAAAGTTGTTACCAACAGTTTTAAATGTTCATATGCAACAAAACTGGGCACTAAATACAGTTACTTCTTCCTACATAAATAACTGATTTTAAATTTGGTATCTTAAGGAAAGGTGCTTTCCCACTGGAAGCAATAATTAAATGGCATATGAATAATCTCACAACACAGACAACCTTACAATGGGACTGTAATTTAAAAATTCAGCAAGATGTATTAAATATGTTGATTTCATGTGGCAGAGTCCAACTGACAGCTGGCAGTCTTGTTTGTCCACGCAGCACATTTGTTTGCAAATGTTACCACTGTACAGCTACAAAAAACAACTATTGTACACACACAATTCATGCACTTACCAAATGCCTGAAGTTTGCCAGAGTGGAAGTCATTCAAGAGACTCAGAAGTCCCCTTTCCATTTCCTGGACATCTGATACATCTGTGAGAAAAGAATGCTGGATTGGTGCTGCCTGTGCCCCTTTTGCTTCACCTCCTGGAGGTTTGGCTTTCTCTTTGATTACGCTAAAAAAAAAAATAATTGCACAAAACAAATATTATTTCCTGCTTTCAAGTTCACTGTAAATTTGAAATGTAAGGAAGTGTACATCTGAGCTTTGAAAATTAAATGGGAAATACACAGTGCATAATTCAGTCACTGCTTTTAAGACAAACACTGGACCACCATCTTGTCTTACAAACAAAGAACATCAGTATCTCAACATTTTGATAATGCAGAATGAAGGGTTGCAATAATCTGCTTTCCTGCTCATAGCAGGAACCATCAATGGACCACATCTGTGATGGCCATCTTAGTAATCTGAAGCGGGCCACCATTACCCAGCAGTGACACGCAGGGCATTAGCACAGAGAAGATCATCGAGTCCAACCATTAACCCAGCACAGCCATGTTCACCACTAACCCATGTCCCCAAGCGCCACACTCACGATTTTTTAACATTTCCAGGGATGGTGACTCCACTACTTCCTCAGGCAGACACTATCTACATAAAATCACCCAAAAAGCACCTGCAAGCCAGAGAGAAACCCCCTCAAAAATCATACTCTCCTCTTGCCACAAACAACCTATAGACTCCAACCCATGTGGAAAACAGCTGGTTATAAGCTTTGGAAGGTGACCTTGCTTCCACACAAATTTTCTTAGAGCACTTTCTTTCAACCCACAAATAACATCCCAATTTTGAAAATCTCACCATCAAAACCACTCTCCCACTACTCCAATATACCAAATGAAAGTAGTCCATGCCCAAACATCAAATTGCTAAAAATACTCTACAACCCTTCCTGCAAGAAAATCATGAAAATTCCTGGATCTCCCATACACTTCTCTCTAGACATAGCACTCATTCAGAGCACCATATGCTCATAAAAACTACATGGATGAAAAATAATAACCATGTTAAATCCCTGTGAACACACAACCAATATGGAAATTAAACACACAGCTACCAGTGAGAAGCAGCATGTTCCATCTCTGACCCAGAGACAGACAGACAGACAGGCTGCATCCTAATACAGTTTAGGTAGGAGGCTGTCCTGCAGCCTTATGATGAATTGTTCAGAACCTGATCCAGTGAAAAAAACTGAGCCTAAAAATTTTAATTTAGAATACTATGGGATATTAAAAAAAAATCACAGACTTAAAAAAGAGGATTTAATTAGTGAAGATAATGGGGTTTAAAGCACAGTAAGCCCTACCCTTCCCATGCTCTGCAAATTTTCTCTTATGGGAAATAATAATTCTTTGTCCAGCCCAAGAGCTTCTGTAGTCTATAAAACATCATGTAGACTATATGCTATAGAAACGACTGGCAGTCCAACAACCACCATACCCAGTTCAACTCAGAGCATCTCAATTTAGGTTCTGCTTCAATTTCAGACTTAATGGTTTGTACAGCAGACAGGTCATCCATTTTTTCTACCTGATTCTAATGTTTAATAAAATATACTACTGGTCTTGGAAAACTTACTTCATTGCATTCTTGCAGATAAAGTGAAAATTAATTAAATACTCTTACTCCATTATCACAACAGCAGTTCATCCTCACATTATCATGTCAATTAGCTCTCCTGCTTGGAAAGTTCAGACAACTGTCTGTATCAGCACTGCTTGGCAAGTTTAACAATTGTGCCAGAATGGCCAGAACTTACAGCAAAAAAGGACATTTTCTTCCCTAGACAATCTTGTGGACTGCAAGAAATTAATTTCTAGTAAATCCCAGGAGAATGTTGAGCAGACTGTTCAGTCAACTGCAGAAGCCACCAATTTATAGCACAGTAGTATTTACTAATATTGCCCTCTAAGTAGTAACACGGTTTTCCTGAAAAATAATGTATAGATTTTACACTGCAGAAATTCATTATTCATCAGGCAAATACTGCATCCTTCAAACAGACTCTCTGTGCTGATGCTGACAGTTCTGTATTTAATCTTCTGCTAAAACTCAGAGGTCAGTCAATTCTGCTGCCTCTCTCCAGCTAACATTTCACTTTAAAATTCCTCTTCATTTATTTATCTACTGTGTCTGCCACAGCCAAGAAACACATTTTCTAACATGCAGGTAAATTAATGTTCTCAAACTGAAACCAACATATCATCAACAAAACACAAACTATTCTGATGTGGTACTTTCTGAAGAACTGAATGTCTCTCTTTACTCAAGACTCTGCCCCAGCTGAGAGGTCCCCAGTCACAAAACACCTGGAAATTCTGGAAATTCCAGTTCTAGCTCATCCTGTTCAATTTATGACCTTCATTTCCTGCTGTACTTGTCAGTTCCAACCTTGCAGTCGTGTAATATTTATTTGTCGCTCACAGCTGTACATCTGGGGCTCTACTATCTCCCATATGATGCCCAAATCTGACCACCCAACTTGAGTCTTTCACCAGTCACATCAGGCTATATTCAGCTAAATTGTTGTTGGTATGGGTTTACAGCACTGTGTAACATTTCATTAAGCTTACAAGAAAAGCGTAAAACACCTTCCTTTGCTGTAAAATAACCATTATATTGCATTAAACATAAATCATGCTGCTAAAAAAGACACATCATCAAAACTTTTCACAAGTCTGAAACTCTTCTGTCACAGCCAGTCTAAACATCCTTTAGACTGTCTTAGTTTCTAGCTCTCACTCCCTCTAAGTCTGCAGATGCCCCGAGCTTACCGTTTTAACTTTGGTTTTTGTACGGCAGGCTGTGGGGCAGGGTTGGAAAAGGCTGTACTTTTACTGACTGGCACTGAGCTTTTCTTGGAGTTAGCAACCTGAGCAGAGTGACTGGAAGATGATTTGGGGCTCCTCCTCTTGATCTTCCTTTCTTCCATTTCTTCCAATTTACTGCATCTAGACCAATGTCTTCATAGGGAAGAAAGTGAGGGGAAAATCCATTAAAACCACCATTCACAATAAAAGCAAGTGGAAAGACAGCTTGTGGAAAGGAAACCTGTAGTTCCTTCAGAGATGAGCAGTCACTCATTTCTGAGAACAAGAGATCCCAGTTTTCAGGAGAACCTGCCTGGCCTGCTTGATGAGCAGAAAGGGCAGGACTTGAAACCCCCATCAACCAACCTCCAAATGATCTCAAGCGTTGTGTCCCGTGGATTACGCCTCGGAAACACCACGACTGCTCAGGCCCACAGCAGGAAAAACACCGCCAAGTGCTGTGGCACGGGGATGCTGCCACCCATCCGTGCCACAGCACCTCCCCTGCTGAGGGCAAGCCCAGCCGATGCCGGGCTGCTCTTGCTGTGACGCAGCTCTTGTTACTGCTGTTCTACACCTGCTATTACTGCTACAGCTCTCGCTGTTACTGCCCTGACTCGCTTATTGTATTATTGCTGCTTACTGTATTGTTATTAGTGCTTATTGTATTGCTATTACTGCTTACTGTATTGCTATTACTGCTTACTGTAATGTTATTACTCCGGCACTGCCGACGGGCCCTGCCCAGCCCCGCACGCACAGCCCACCGTGTGCGGTTACCGGGCGCTCCTCGCCACCTCCTCGCCGGGGAAACGCCTCTGACCCCCGTTACACCTCGGAAGGGGCAGAGGGCGCCGAGGGCACGGCGACGTGACCCCCGGGCGCCATCGCGGACCCGCCGCTACCTCCCGGGATGAGGAGACCCCTGCGCGCAGCCCGGGCAGCCGCAGCCGCGTACAGCCGCTTCATTACCGCGGAGGCTCGGGACGCGGGCTGCGGTCCGGGAGCAGCGGGATCAGGACGGAGCCTCCCCGCCCGGCCTCAGCCCTGTCCCCGCGCCCCCCGCCCCGCCGCGGCGCGCAGGCCCCGCCCCTACCTGAGAGAAGCCCCGCCCCCGGAGCGCGCGCGGACCCCCGCGGAAGCGGCCGGCTCGTCCCGGCGCGCGGACCACGTGACGGCGGGGCGGCCCGGCGGCGCCGTGAGGTGCATTGTGGGAGTCCCGCCCCAAGCCACCATTTCCCCCGCGGGCGGACTACAGCTCCCAGAACGCCTCGCGGCGCTGCGCGGGTGGGGCGGGCTGAGGGCCGACAGTCGGTGGCTGTCAGGGCCGGGGTTTCTTCCGAAATATCTGATCCAAGTGCAATCGTGTTAAAAGACCGCACTGCCGACCTGGTCCCTTTCCCAGCTGACGCCGTGCGGTAGCGCTCTGCCTTCTCCCATGCTCACTCCGTCTCCTGCTTGTAATTACACCCCAGCCACAGCCCGCTCCATACCGAAGAGGCCTCGGCCGCTTTTGCTTTTTAGGGCTTCACTGAGCAGCGGGCACCTCACATTAATGATTTATGTGGAGCCGCAGTCAGGGGCCTGACTCATTTGTAGCCTTTGTTACCTGTGTTTATTAACAAATGTTTACAGCCAGTTGAACTGTGCTTATACAGGCGGCAGCTGAGCCCGCTGGGAAGTGATCCTCAGGTGTTGCAAGGCATCGCTATCTCCAGATAGGGTCAGCAACAGGAATTCCCCCTAAGAGGACAGGCTGAAAGGACTCAGTATATTCACATAAAGCTATATGGGCTAGGGATGCTGCCGGTGGAACAGCAAATTCCAGATGACAAGAGGACATAGTATTAAGCTGAGCCTGGACAAGTTTAGGTTTGACATTAGGAGGAATTTCTTCACAGAAAGGGTGACTAGACATTGGAGTGAGCTGCCCTGGAAGACGGTGGAGTCACCGTCCTGGGGGTTGTTAAGGCGAGACTGGACGGGGTCTATTTGACAAGGCGCTGCTCGGTCACAGGTTGAGCTCGATGGTCTCAGAGGCGTTTCCCAACCTAATTGTTCCCGTGCTCCCGTAGCCCTGCAGGCGGGAGGGGGGCGGAGGGCCATCACCCCGCGGCGGGCCGTGCCCGGGGCGCTCGGGGCCGCGTGGGTGCCGCCCGCAGGGACACGGGCGGCACGGCGCCGGCAGTGCCGCTCCCGCCCGCAGGGGGCAGCGCCTCCCCGCGCTCCGCCGCTCCTGTCCCGGCTCCCAGCTCTGCCTGCCGAGGCACCGCCGGCGGGAACGGGTGCCGTGGGCAAGGAGGAGCCATCCTCGTCCCCGCGACAGATGTGCTCGGCCCGGCTATCGTCCCAGATAAACGAGGAACCCTGCTGCCACGCTGAGCTGGATGCAGCTCTCTGTGTCATTTCCGACCTGGATTTCAGTCCTGAGTCGCTGGCTTGCAGGAACTTAATTTTGAAGGCAGGCAGTATAATTAGCAGGGTGTGCCTACCTAGCCTGAGTAATTAACGAGTTCAGCCCCACCAAGTCTATTTCCTGGTGCTGTCGCTATTGCGTTTCTGGTCGTCACTTCTCACCTCAGTGCTCCCTGCCGGTCGTGGCTTTGTGGACTTGAATGGTCGGCACACCTTTCCTACCTGTGGCTGGTAGCCCGAGCTGTTTTCCCCCCACGTGAAAGTAGTTTGTGACCTAGAGAAATGAACTTATCAACTATCTCTACAACTTGTCAGCTTGAATTTCGTAAACCTGCAATGAGAACTTATTTTTGACTTGAGAAGCGTGTTGTTCATTACGGTATGTTTTGTGAGGAAAACTCTCAGACATTATTCGCACACCAGCTGTGAGAGGCGCTATAATCTGCATCAACCACAGTGAAAAAACATTGACCAGAAGCTTTGCTGGTGTTTGCAAGCGTGTGTCTCAGTATGAAGCTACGTCATGACTTAACAGGTGTGCAGCACCTAGAATACATCCCTATCTCTGTCTAAACTGTCCATGATACCAGGAGAATGATTCTGCAGTTGTACCCTGATACTGAACCTTTTTATGGACCTTGAATTAGAGCTGAGAGGCTATTAAATAGCAGTGTCTCATTGAGACTTGGATGGGATGTTACAGCTGTGAGACCCAGTGGCCACCTGGAGACCCAAAAGGGGAGATTGTCTGTCAAAAGGAGATTCCATTTGGAGTGGTTCTCATGTGAATGACAGGGACCCAATGTCCACTGAAGTCACCCTACAGACAAAGTAATTCCTTGCAGTGGGACACAGTTTGGGTCTGAGGAGCTGGATCAGTTCTGATACATTGTGACCAGTGTTGTTGCAAGAGGCGAGTGATAGACCAGCTATACCCTGACAGCTCACTCGGCGGGAATAAACAACCTGAAGGTCTTTGCATGTAGGCAACTGAGACGAAAGAAATTTATCTCTGTGACACTGGAGATGCATTACACAAAGAGGCAGTGGCACAAGACTTGAGGGACAAGTATAGAAGCTGAAACAGTTGATTCTGTAATACAAAGGGCTTCTGGTATCTGGTTTGGCATGCGCTACAGGGAAACAAGAGCTAGCAAAAGTCACACGGGCTGTGAGCCAGACACAAGCTCTCAGTTACAGGGCAAGAATCCTCATTTGCACACATACATATATGTGTATGTACAGATATATAGGGGGATACAACAAGTGGACAAATTGAGACTTACAGGCAGATTTCTGCAACCATTTGGGAAAATTGTATGAGATAAATACTGCTTCCCCATGGTAATGGAGAAATGTTGGGAATGTTTGTGTTCGTGCAGCTCATTTCTCACATGCTGTATGAGCAAGTAAATGTACCTGCCTTGCAGTTGGTATATAGAGGTGTGGTTTGTTTTCCCCGTGTGATTAAAGGTGTTCTGTGTGGATGGAAGGTGACTGGGTGTCCTTTGTTTCTACCAAAGCAGCTGAAACAGAATGACTGATGGTGTGTTTTTAAATAAAGGGGAAATGTTTCCATCACTAAGCATTGTTAAAATGAAATTACCTTCATATTCAGGACGCAGTTGGATTCCACAGTTAACCCTGCTTCAGTTTAGTGTCTCAGTAGGAGGGAACAAATATTACAGAAAAGACAATAAATTTTAGCATGCAGGAAATATTTTGCTCCAAGTGAATTACTTATCCCTGCACCACATTAGAATTATGATTAAGGTGCCCCTGTTATTTTTATATCTGATTTAACAGAGCCTACAAGGGCAGATAATTAAAAATCATCAGATTTTATGTTTTCATAGAGAAAGTAATCCTATAGTGAATAATTAATTTCTTTTAAAAGATAATAGTAAGTTAAGAGCAAAGAATTAAAGGTAGTATGGTCTTGATTTGTTACTAGAAATCCTATTGCAGATAACGTTGCGTAGAATCGAATAGAGTTTGAGGGAGGAAAAAGGCATATTTTGGACTATCTCTATCTGAGATTTTGCCCAATTTTGTATTGTGATAATGATTCATGGTCCAGAAAAGGCTTTTTTCTTCCTTTAAAAGGATTTTTTTTTCTGACAACTCCACCATGCATTATAGTGGTAGCATTTGTGTATACTTGTTGACTGAAATGCTCCAAGGGTAACAGTGTTTTAATGGCAACAATGTTATTGTTAAAGCAGCAAATTAAAAACTTAATTGAATCTGATTTTATTTACATGTATATCTCCTTACAAACTAGATGCCCACCTTTGAAGATGCTTTGAAGAAGAACTTCAAAGTTAAGTCTGTACTTTGTATTGAGATATGCATGCAAATAAAATCAGATTCTTCTTTCTGAAAACCCTCTTCAGTTAACATGAGATGGCAAGTCGGTTCTAAAGGCTTCCAAGACAGTGATGAAAGCACTGGGTTCTTTAGCTTCTATAATTAATTTCAGATGTATTTCACAGGTTGGCACCTTGTACTCATGGAATCCTGACATTGCTGTAGCAGCACCTTCCAGAAAAGAGCACGGTCTGGGACCTATCTGCTCATAGGAAGGAAAGTACTTATTGCTGGTTTGTGAGGAGCAGCATAACAAGGTGTATATGTATCTATCAGCCAGATAAATGTGCAGAACAATGCAGCAAAGTTGAAATTATACATATAACTAATTACCACTGGAGTAATATGGATGTAGAATTGTGTGGGTTAGACACATGTACTCTTTACAGATTGGTGACAGATATGTCCTCCAGAAATGTGACTGAAAATGTGTCAGCGTGTATACTTACACTGTATCTCTCTCCCCACACTATCATTATACTAAGTGAAGGAATATGATCATATATAAGATCATATAAATCATTAGATTTATGTGCTATTATTGATCAGTTTCCACATCTCTAGTATGAATAGTCCATTGAAATCAGTGCTGTTACACAAGAACAAGCAGTTTAAAACCTCTACCAGTACTGTGTGCTCATGAAGTGTTCTGATTGCAAAAAATCAATACTTGATTAGCTACCAAGACATTAAATACATGACCTGCTTATAAACTGAACAAATATTTTACCTGAATGTGGATGAAGAATAAAGGACCTCCTTGGGCCAGCAGTGTGGTAATTCAGGCAGCCAGGACACATAGTGACGAGGGAGGAAGGAGGGAGAACAGAAGGGACTTGCTGAATCCCTTGGAAAGCAGCAGTCATCCCAAGAACTAGGCCTCTAATGCCCAAATGTCCCTGGACAGCCCCACCTGTCCCCCACCCCACTGCCCAGGAGTCCAGGAGCCCCACTTCAGCCCAGCCTGGGGACTTCAATTCCTGCCTAAGCATCTCCAGCTCTCTCTTCAGCTCCTGCATGGACACCTGGAAAATGATTTTTAAAGAATGTTATGAATATATCCACTAGTTAGTCTGGATTTCACCTTCACAGTATCATGGAAGTAATAGTGGTTGGGAAGCACTTCTGGAGGTCGTAGCAACATGAGCTAACTCAGTTTGTAAGAGACATCATGAGGTCTGAGTCAAAGCAGGTCAACTGTGTGCATAGACCAGGTTCCCAGACTTTATCCAGCCCCTCTTGAAAATTTTCCAGGATGAAATCTGCACCAGTGTTCTCTAGCACAGCCTCCTCCTCA